TTGTTGTTGTTTTTTTTTTTTGTGTTTTCATGTTATTTCCTTTTTTATGGCAACCGTAAGGCAACCTTATCACAGGGTTTTCTGGGCAGAATTTGTTCAGAGGGGGTTTGCCTTTGCCTGACTCTCAGGCAGGGACAGTGTGACCCCAAAGTCACCCAATGGGTTTCTATAGCTGAGTAGGGATTCGAACCCTGGCCTCCTCAGTTGTAGTCCGGCTCTCAAACCACTACGCCACTAAGTTTTGAACTTTAAACCCAAATTCTAATTCCATTTTTTTCTTCTGTATCTTGAGAAAGTTGTTGAATGGACATAGCTCTGATTTTTCAAGTGGTTTTCTTTAAGCCTAATGTGAGCATTATGGCTGTTTATCAGGTGGAGAGGAGGAACAAAATAGGAATATAAAGTAAACAATTTACCAGAGCCAGTCTGAAACTCCCATATTTCAGATCTTGAAACATGTGCTATACTGTACTGGTATTTTTTTTTAATATGCAAAAACTTTGGAGGAATATCTAAGAAATTTTAAAAATAAGTATTTATCAAAAGCATGCAAATGTAAGTAGATAAATAGGTACCACTTTGGTGGGAAGGTAAACAGCGTTCAGTGCAATCATGCTGGCCATATAATCACAGAGTAGTCTCTGACAACACTGGCCTTTTGGCTTAGTAATGGAAATGAGCACTGCCCCCTATGATCAGACACGACTTGACAAACTTGTCAATGGGGAACACCTTTTCATTTATAATGGTAGTTATGTCATTTTCCAAGTTTTGAAACTTATGTAGCCTAAACAGCACAAGAGGAGGAGCTTCAGTTGCTTTGGCTAAACTTCAAGATTTACAGAAGTGCATTTCTTCCCCCCCCTTTTTTTTTTTTTAAAAAAAGAAAGAACCTAATTCCCCCAACAAACCCATTGAGGACTGAGTGTATTCAATGGCTATAGAGCACTTGGGGATAGAGGGATGAGTGGGAAATAGAGAGGAATATGGAATGAAGCATATTACATTCATAAATGGAATGAAAAGGTATGGATGGCTGAATCTGCCACCCGAATACAGCCGGGGTTCATCCCCGCTCCCAGGAGCACTCCGGCAGCCATTTTCTTAAGCTGGAAAACTCCCAGTTTTGAAAAGAGGTGTGCTGAGTGCCTCTGGGAGTGCAGATGGACCTGGGCTGTATTCGGGCAGCAGATTCAGCAGCAAAATCACTGCAATAGTATCAGGATGCCACCTAAATTAAAATTTAAGTCAGGAGAAGTAAGACACTCCAATAAGCCATGCAATAAGCTCCTAAGTTGACAACAATTCTTGTCAATTTGCTAAATATATTATAAAGATAAATGCAAGAGCACAGATTTAAAAAAGGAAGGAAATGTTACCAGGTTTTGTTCAGTGCCAGTAATTAGTAATGTTGGAAACTTTTACAGTAACATTCCAGTCTTAAGTGTATTATCAAGATGTTTCAAAGCATTTGTGTCTTTTTATGTTTGTGTGGCTACGGTGGTGACAAAAGGTTTTTCAATAGTTTCAAAATTATATGTGAGATGAGAATTTTTATGTTTGTTGAAAAGTGAAAACCATACTTACAAACATGACTAAGCATCTGGTATTTAGGGCAAATAAAGTGTGACTACATCCTTAAATCAAGTTTCAAAACAGAAAAAACAAGTTTTGTGAGCCTTTACCAGCCCAGGTGTTGGTATTTTACCCAGCTGGGAAAATTATAGAATCACATTGGTGAGTAAAAAGTCATCTGGCTGAAAATAGAGGTTGACTAAATTCAATTGCAAGGAAAATGAGTGTTCCTCTTCCTGCCACTGTCATGACATACTTTGGTTCCAATAGACAAATTTATGCCTGTAATAGTCCTGATGAGAAATCTGTACTTAGGACAAGAGGCTATGTGAGAACAGAATACAGAGAAAGAGAATGGTTCCAAATTGGCAAAGGGGTCAAGCAAGGCTGCATTCTGCCATCCTATTTGTTCAAACTGTATGCAGAAAATATAATAAGAACAGCAGGTTTAGACTCAGAAGAAGGAGGAATGAAGATAGGTGGAAGGAACATCAACAATCTAAAATACGTGGGTGATAACATGCTACTAGCAGAAAACAGCACAGACTTAGAAAAATTATTATGGAAGGTCAGAGATGAAAGTGTAAAGGCAGGCTTAATGTTGAACAGAAACAAAATAATAACCATGAAAGAAATACATACATTCAACCTAGATAATGAGGAAATCAAAATAGTAAAAGACTCCCTGTACCTTGGATCAAACATTATTCAGAATGAAGACTGCAGTCAAGAAATCAGAAGACTAGGAATGGGAAGGGCAGCTATGAAAGAACTATACAAGATACTCAAGTATAAAGATATATAATTGAGCACTAAAGTTAGAATCGTCCAAGCCATTGTATTTCCCATCACCATGTACAGATGCAAGATCTGGACAGTGAAGAAAGCAGATGAGAAGAAAATCAGTTCATTTGAGATGGGCTGCTGGAGAAGAGTGCTGAGAGTACAGTGGATGGCCAAGAAGACTAATGGATCCTTGAACAGATGAAGCCTAAACTCTCCTTGGAAGCCAGGATGGTCAGATTGAGGTTGTCATACTTTGGCGACATCATGAGACATCATTTCAAAAGACAAAGATGCCAGGAAGGACAGAAGGTAGTAGAATGAGAGGAAAATGACACACCAGATAGGTAGATTCAAGCAGGAAGGTCTTGAGTCTGAATTTGCAAGGCCAAAGCAGATCAGTGAAGGACAGGAGGCCTTGGAGATGTCTCACACACAGGGTTGCCATTGGTCAAGGTCACCTCAAAAGCAGTTAACTACTACTACTACTACTACTACTACAGACAGCATAAACAAATGAAAATCCCATGTCAGAATATCCTTAGCAGGAGTGACATGCAAGCCACTCATAGTTACTTAGTTTTAAAGAAATCTAGTGTTTATAAATGTGCTTTAAGATGATAAATACTCCTATTAAAATAAGAAATCAAAATTTGCATATTGTTTTTGTAATTATGTATGTATGTATGTATGTATGTATATAAACACATTTTGTATTTTTTTTATAACGTAGCCATGTTAATCCCTTGCAGCATAAAAAGGAAGAAGGGGAAAAGAAAAAGGAAATGTGGCAACATCTTTAAGACTGACTGGTGTTTATTTTCTCATGTGATTTTGTGGATATATACCCTCTTTTTTTTGATGCAGTACCAAGTTGTGTTGAGACCTCAGGCATAAAACATATCTATACAGTTGTAGGAGTGGAGTATAATGTAATAGATACAGAAAGATGCAAATCATGAACCTTGCCCTAAATTTTCATTTTGTATGTTCATAGGTCTACCACAAACAAACAGAAGGTGTATTAGTCAAAACCAAGATGGAGTCTGATTCAGTAAGTAAACCTCTTTTAAAGCTTAGTATGCTTGTAAATCTCATTTAAAAAGCTTTTAATAAGTATGTTTTAATTTATGCTAATTGAAATGAAAATTTCTACATAATTCTTTGATTATAAAATTATAAAATTAGGATTAAAAGTGCAACCAAGGATTAAATGTGCAACCACCATGAAAGGTAAAGAGGAAGCCAAAAAGAAATTCCTCAAGTATTGAATATGGTGGTCCAAAGCTGTGTTGACACTGAGCAGCCTTCTTTTCATTGACGTGAAGATTATAATTAAAAGAGTACAGTACTTTGTAAATTTTTAAAGCCTCATAAACAAAAACCCAAGGAAGAAATTAGAGACCTAGCTCAATCTTCCCTAACCTGCTTCTTTCCAGATGTGCTGGACTACAGATCACATACAAGTATGTATTTGGGCAGTCAAACATCACAAAGTGTGATTTCTGTTCTTTGTGAAACCATATTCATTCTGACTTTTTTCAGTCCTATATAAGGACCAGACCATGAGGAGACCATTGTTGCTGTGCATGGAAAACAGTACAAGAAGTGGTCTGAGTGATGGACCTGTTCCTGAGCAATCCCAAGTGGACGAGCCACTGTCTTGATTTGGTCAACCCAGAGATTGACTCATCTCCTTGGGGAAGGTCACAGGGCCCTAGGATAGGACAAGTGGGTTTCTCTGAGATATAAACAAAACACATTCCTCTCCTGGCAAAATGATTAGTTACTTTCTTACTTTGTTTAATAAATTATGTTAGTATTTGATGCTTCTCATTAAGCATTGGTATCTAGTTGATATGTTATTTAGCAAATAGTTGCATTTGCTGCACACATGAATAAAACTTTATAGACCCAACTAAAGGGCAAAACAGACCACCTTGAAGGGGCAGCATGATGCCACCACTGAGAAAGAGAGGTGGGGGCCACGGCAACTGCATGCCATGGCCCCAGTCTGGCCAGTTTCCAGCCCAAATAGGAGTGGAGAAAAATCCACTCCTATTTAGGACAGAAAAAAGCCACCCTTTTCCTTCTAGAACTGGCTTTTCGCTTGAGGGCAAGTGGCATCTAAACACCATGCCCCCAAGCGGGATAGAAGCTGGCCAGTGTGTAATCGCCAGTGTGGCTTTTGTCCAGCTTGAGGGTGTGGTGCGTCTAAACACCATGCCCCCAAGCTGGCGTGACGCCATCTTAACCGGTTTGTTTTGGCCCTAAGTCACAAGCTCATTCTTTTCCTGCAACAAATTTTAGCCATGAGTTGAGTTCAACTATTTATCATACTAAGCAGGTTTTTCTTCAGTGTATTAACATATTTTCACATAATTTCTGATGTATTAGGAGAATCTTTTCTGTACTGCACAATTGTTTAAAAATACTACTGCAGAGTCAAAGATGCTGGAATCGTTGCATTATTGAACTGGTGCCTGTGTTACTTTCTTGAGATTATTTCACCATTTTGTACTAATGCTTCTTCACATGATTATTGTATTTGTTCTTTTCAGAGGCCACCACCATATTATGAAAACTATGCCTATCAGCCAGAAAATGTGGCTCCTTCAAGGCATGGCGGTGGTTACACATATCCATCTTACACATCTCCATATTATACTCCATCAGTGCCACATTATATCCCAAGGGTTTCCACTTACCACTCAACTCCAGTGCCATCAGTAGTACAGCCAAAGTCTTCATCTGCAGAATGCACACCAAGTAAGTTATGCTTCCATTTTTTTTTAAAAAAAGGAATAAAATGAAAATAGAGAAAAAAGTAAAATGATGTAAATTTTTTTTAAAAAAATTATGTAATTAATTTTAAAAACTTTT